GAAGGCACGCGTAAATTTTCTTATGATTTTGACGTAGGTTTTGGGACTCCTTATAGATGCGTGCTTCCAAAAATACTGCGTTTCGCAGTGGATTCTGTGCTCTACTACTGCGTACCGATGAATCGGCGCGCGTTTACGCTCCGGCCGAGCGTTGTTGTTGTCGCTGATTTTCTTAACCAATGTTTTCTTAAACAGAGCCGGCACTGTAGTTATGTGTATATATATGATCACCCCCAAGATCCATTCTCATACTTGGAAATACCGGGCGAGGGACCGCATACACTCATGTCCAAACACTGCAAATAACAGTGATTTAGCTTGTTTTTCACATGACCTACGTCTCCTGCAACTCTAAACTTCTTGTCCACGAGGTGCGAACCGGAATCCGGTAGCCAGAAGCTTTGTTGTCTGTACTACGTCCCCATCTCCGAGAATTGAGCTTTCAATTCGAGGCATTCTCAGTCCAGGATTGACATACAGAAAGCCAAGCCTAGATGAATTTCATTTGAACTTGAATCACAAGGAGTAGTGAGGGATAGGATTCTGGTTACATGAGCTCCTTCTAAGATGTTCTATTTCTAAAAAAAGAAATGAGTCTACATGGATAAAAAGAACATGAGAGCACAAACAAAGCACAAGCGACTGATTTTTGTTATAATGCGCTGAAGCCTACATTTCTCCATACCTGAATGCTAAATATCCATGACCTCGCTGCGGTATTCTGATCATATTCCAATGGAAAGATGTGATTTCAACAAAGAGATTCTGCTTTCATATTCAGGCAATTCAGAACACAGAAATCACTCGAAACCTTTGATGTAAAGTCTGAGAGCACATCAAAACCAGCGTTACTAACGGTGCTTCCAGTTTGCCTTATCAAAAAGCTGCTCTTGAAGCAAAACCATCTGTATTTACAACGTATGCAACTGCGGATTTTGTGGGGGGTGACTATAATGTATGAGCGCATACGTATGTATATGCATATGTGTACATGGTACCGGCACTGTTCTGAACCCATCTTTCCACATGCATGCTAATGATGGCCGTGTTGTTTCGTTTTGCAATTCCGTCTTTTATCCTTTTGGCACTCCTGCGTACTGCTGAATGTGTGGGGTCGGTAGTGCGTCAGTCTCTAACAAGAAGTTGTGTTTTCTTTAGCAGGAGATCCGTCTTCCTATTCAATTTCATGTTCTTTAAAGTTGTGGCCTCCCACTCAGAAAATGAATAGTCATTGGAAGACATTCGCAGACATTTGGAATAAAGCAAGCTCTGTATCATCACGGCATCCTATGCAAATACGACACATTCGTCCTTCCTGAACTTACGTGTTTATCAAAAGAACCTTGAATAAGATGCCTTTTGGGACCCCCAAAATTCATTGGCAATCCCAATATGCCCCGAGGTCCTGTTTGGAGAAACTGCCATATTTGGAGTAGAGGAAGCATTCAACATCCTTGATGTTTTTGGCCTAAGGACTTGAGTTGCAGCAGGCCCGTGCAGAACACACAACTTGTTGGCTTGAGTCTCCTGACCCTGACAGAACATTCAGGGAGCAAACGCCGAGACCGGGCAGATTCTCTTCAAAGCCTTGGTGTTCTGCATGACCAAGAAGTTTGCGGAATCTCAGTCGTGGCTGGAGGTTGTCTTCTTGTTGCAGCACCTTTTCGCGTTTTGAACTGCCTCGCACTCCCATCAGCACCAAGGACTGCCTGGTTGAGAAGCTCAACGAAGCAAGCTTCTTCGGCAGAAGAGTTTTTGTCATAAACCTTGCGCAAACGCATTACATGTCTTGGCCGGATTCGGGCCTACCAAGCTGGCACTGCGCGGATGCCAACTCAGCAGGTTCGATAAATACGGATTGGCAGAGGCGAACCACATCGCTCACAGAATTGCGATTTTGACCTGCCTTATTAGCGCGCTTTTGCTGCCTGACGCTCACCTTGTCAACCTGCCCAGAAGATTGCAATTTTACCGTTAGTAGTTACCACACAAAGAGCGGCAGCCGGCAAGGTGGAGGTATGCAGAAGGTAGGGCCTAGAGTCAGCGTAAACACGTCGCAGCAGCATCAAGGGGGTTGGGCACTGCGCGACACTGCACCAGGTTGCCAAGCCGTAGCAATCCACGGCAACAAGACCCAAGATGACATTCGCCTGCTTTTCAGTACTTTTCAATCCTTGATCGAATGCTGGTGGTGGAGCTCCGGCTTTGCTTCAGCGCCCACTTCAAGCGAGTGCGCCGCTGCAAGGAGCGATTGTTCAACCTGGAGTCTTTTGCCAGCTCGAGCTCGTTGCCCGGCAACACAGACGTCTTGAAGCCAAGACCGTGTGGCAGGGCATGCAGGGCAGGTCATACAACAAGCACCGACGAGCTTTGTTCAATTTTGTTCAGGTCTGCTCCACGTGTCCTGGTAGCGACGGATGTGTTGGGCCGTGGAATCAACCTGCCCAAAGTGCCGCCTGGCTGACATGGCCAGGCTTCGGCCATGCCAGGCTCTGGCTTTTCTGAAGTGTGCTTCTGCCTGTGTTGCCCTGTCCAGCCTCGCTTGGACCAAGCTGCATCCATCATCCACCTTGAGATGCTCAACTTTGATGTAGCCTACCTATTGCAACCTCTGTGTTGATTTGATCGCCCGAGACTTCTTCAGGACTCACGTCTTCATTTTCGACATGCCGGGATGCATTGAAGACTACATCCACCGCATAGGACGAACAGCACGAGGGTTGGATGGCCAGGCGCGTTGCCGAAGACTAGTGCAGGCGTTGCAGGCTCAGGTTGCCAGCATCATGAAGTACAAACTCATCGCGCAATGCTGCCATGTAGCCATCTGCCATCGTCCGCCAGGGCAAGGCCATCACGTTCTTCGAATTCGCACCCTGCGTGCCGCAAATTGCGGAGGAGCGCGGACATGATCACCGTGCTGTCCTTCACACTGTCCTTCACCCAGTCTTCCAATTTGTCCCCTTGGAGATTTAAGCCTCCATCCCTCGCACATGTGTTTCCTTTTCCCTTTCAACACCTGACAAGCTTTTCACGCAGCACTTCTGGTAGCAATGACGCGGGCTGTATAGCCAATTCGCTGTGGAAAAATTGGTTGACTTGCAGGACCTGATTCTTCACTTGGATGCAAGCGGCCAACGCATTCCTTCAGAACTTCGGCACATTGCAGAGGTGCACTGTTGCTGCCATACTTGTGAGTAGAAAAAGACTCCAACACATATGAGCAGGAGGTTTCTTCAGGGCAACGACCCCAGAGCAAGAGCAAGCTTCGGATGCGGACTGAGGCTCGTTTGCTGAAGCCTAAGTCCTTGAGCGAGGGGATGCTGACATGCGAGCAAGGCGCTGGATGACCGACATTCAGCCGGCTTCCGGGAAGCATTCCAGGACTAGCAGACCAGCGTATACAGTTTTAGAAAGTTTCAGTCGGTGGTTTTTGGCTCTTGCCGACTGTTGCCTGAACTCTATCAGAGATGCGATCTACTGTCGTTGTCACCTGGAGCAAGGCTCGCAAGGCTGGGACATGTTCCTATTCTTTCATATTTCCCCGGAAGCTGCTGTGCAAAGCTGTGCAGGGCAGCAGTTGAAGCTTGCATCTATCAGAAAGCTCCTCACTACCCTTGCTCTACATCCAGCTTGCCAGATGTCATCCATTTTTTAGCCAGCCCAAGTTTCAGAATCAGCATATACAATCATCAAAGGCATCCGTCTTGGAGCTATCTGAAACCGGGCGGGAGGGTGCTTCAAGCCAAGGACTTGCAGATCTTGCAACGCCAGCAGAGCTTGGAGAGTGGCATGCTGGTGGATATCGGCTCCTGAGCTGGTCATAAATGTAGTTTGCACATATCAGGCAACACATGTTCAGCTTGTTGAAACCAGGTCATGGATGTTTGCAACTCGGCCTACTAATGGAGATGGTGGTTTGAAGCTGCACATGAAGCCGCCCAGGAAGGCAAAGAGAGCGTGAACCTGAACCCGAATGATAGCAAGGCCTTTTTTGCGGCAAAGCTAGAGCAGCTAGAGCAGCTAGGTGGAGTCAGCCTGCGATGCCTGCGACAAGGAGGGCGGCTGGTTGGTCTTTGCCAGGGATGGAGTGCTGCACACGGACCGCGGCTCTGGATCCTGGAAGCTACAGGAGGAGATGGGCTGAGCTGTGCTACATCTTTGCGCTACACGTACATCTTTGCATGCTTTGCCATCCCTGCGGAACTTGCTCTGGACAGTGGTCAAAGCCCTTCCAAGCACATGATTAGCTACTCCAATGGCAGATGTTGTCACCAGGAGCACATGCTGGTTCGCTTCGGTAATTTCGCGCTCCGGCTAACGCTCCACAAGAAGTGGAATGGGAAGAAGCATTTGCACTTTTACGCGGAAGTGGTTGCCCCAGCTGCTGAATTCGTGCATTCTTGCAGTTGAAGGACTCTGCAGAACAATCTTGACGTCTATGTGCTGCCATGTTCGCTGCACCTGAGGACCTCGCCGCCTCGGGCAAGGCTTTGTGCGGATGGGTCCAGAAATCGAAGTCTTACAAGTTCCAAGATGCGAATGCGAGCTGATCCAAAAGTAATTGCTCCTCACTAAGAGCTGGTGCAGGTTTTGCAGGGGCAGTGGAAGCGGGAGCAAGAAGCGAAATCAAACTTTACATTCTCCAGACGTTTTGCTTTCTCACTTCTTCTTGTGGTTGGGCGCCCAGGATGCCTGTACAGATTTCACTACAAGGTCTCAGAAAGTTGCCGGTGCACACCTGGGGGTGCGCATTTGAGCCATGTATGCCCAAGCCAACCACCATCAACGCCGCCGCGCACCCACCGACACCACCGCTTCCCCGACGGCCGCCACCGTTGTCGCTGCCGCCACCGCCGGCGCCACTACGCAGTGTTGGCAAGCGACCTTCTTTTCCAAGATCTCATGTGACGTGTTTTTTTTTTTTCAAATTTGAAGCTGCACTGCCCCAAAAAGCAAGTGGCAAACTGCGAAATGAAAACTTTTCCCGCAGGAGTGCTATCAAAGCTCATTGTATCCAGGATGATTTGCAACATCACTGGCTCCAAGCTGTTAGCCTCTGTTGTATCCCGGAAGAGGGTGAGCTGAGAAACACGTAGCCTAGCAAGTGACTTAGAAATCCAAGCTGCTGGAGCTGACTGTAGCTTTCTCTACACAGTTCCTTCTTGGTTTCGCAGCTCGCCAGAAGTCGGGATCTCCGGGTACGCCGATGGAGTTATTCTAGGTTAGTTGCATCAAAGAGATGCACGGATTGATCCACACCGCTGCCTCCCCAGCTCCCTTCTTGGAAGAAGTATTGCGATTCTGTTTTGCCTGAGGTCTGGAAAGAGTTCATTGAAGAAAAGTATGGCCCAGAGGTGTGGAGGAAGGCGGCTTCAAATCGCTTGAAGTTCAATGCCGTTCATGCATGTTCATACAGCCTTCAGCACACAATTACCAGTATTGTCATCCGGCAGAAGTGGGGGGCTAGAAAGACGAGCCGGCACCAGTGCGCACGGGCTTTGACCTTGCAGGCTTTACAAGCCTGCGATGTGCAAGACGACACCGAGTTCCTTGAGTTCAAGCAGCACGAGGCACAAGTCTGCACTTGACTATACGGAAGCTAGAAAGGTCTTCGGAGCCACGAGTGTTCTGTCCGAGGACAAGCTCACCCACCAAGTCATGTCGGCGAGCATGGGCGTCGCCGCGATCAGCCTGGAGGCTAGCCACGGCCTCAGGAAATCACGTGACCTCACATTGGTGCTTCCAGACCAGGCTTCCATCTTGTATCTGCGCCCAGGTCTAGAGCTCTTTGGAGCTTACTTTGTGCAATTCATGGTCCGGCAAGGCCCCGTCAACAATGCCTCATACCCCAGTGTCGTAGCCAATCTGCACAGCACTTTGCTCACTCAACACAAGAAGGCAGGCAAATAACTTAGGCCAGACATGGCCAGACATGCGAAAGACCTGCAGCGGTTGAAAGCAGAGCCGTGTCAAAATGACTCTCTTCTCAGTACGCCAGACTCCACTTAATATGGCATCCCTCTGGCACTTATTGCAGACGGAAAATCCAAAGGGAGGCCGTTACCTGGATACGGATGTGGTCCACGGCTTTCATTCGGCGACAGTCCTTGATTCCTCCTGTTCATCGATCAGTGCCATCGCCGCAGATGCAGTCACCCCCAGCTCAGATTTGAAGGTTGGCACAAGAACTTTAGACTGAGCTGTGCATTCAGTATCGTTTTCGAGAGAGTGTGGTCACGCAATGTTCTCACGCCAGAATCTGCGGTTCCTATCGTACACAAAAAGAATGCTGACTGAGTTTAGTCATAATGAGTTCAGTGTTTCAGCAGTCGCAGTGGCTGTGTTTTCTCTTCGGTGAATGCCAGACCTGCAGCACCTGTAGGCTGGACACAGTGGCTGCAAGCCATGGGAAGTTCCCTGCAGGATCTCACTCTCAAGCATTCTCAAGCTTTTTCTTCAAAGCGAAAGCTGTGTGGTGCGATGAGCAGCAAGAAGAATATCGCAGCGGTCAGACCATTCCACCGAGCGAGGAGTTCGTCCAGAATCTGAACGACATGCACCATGACCCCATCTCAGTCGAGAAGTCCGAGTAGGCTTCAACAAGTCATCATAAAATTCGCTACCAGCCACTGCACATCCCTTGAACTCAATGAATACGTGTTGAATGCTTGTGTTGTTTAACTGTTTGTGGCTCAGGTCCTGGAGCGGGACTTTCGCTCAGCCTGCTTTCCAATCTTTACTGCTTCCAGTCAGCGCCTTGGCATCGCCGCATCGCTCAATCTCATCGGGCTGCCCCCGTGTAGGATGCCTCTTTGGGCCTTGCTCGTTCTGCAGATTTCTGCAGGCTCGGACGAGGGAGACTTTCTTCTGACGTATAGCAGCAGGCCCAGGCGGCCCAGGATACCCAGCATGCTCGCATGCTTCAAGCAGGTTGCAAGTTGCAAGTTGCAAGCGCCTTGTAGCACTCCAAGGCTCTTCCCGGTTCGTCCCCAGCCTGACAAAGGGTGCCTTGGAGGAGACAAACAACTTTTGTGCTTGTCGTAGAAGGCTAAAACGGGCAGCTTTGCACGTTCAGGCAGGTCAAGACCCTGTTAATGTAGCTGTTCCTCCCGAGGTGTGCTCAAAGAAGTCGCAGCCGTCCTTTTCAACGTCGGGGCCCTGCCAACTAGAGCCGGCCAGTGGTTTTCACGATTCTTACAGAACATGTGGCACGCAAGCAAGAATCAGTTTTCTCCAAATTGTCTTTTGGCAGGTCAATGTTGACTTGATCAAATTGGGCCGTGACCCCGGAGCACCAAAGCAATGCGGCACACCATGTAGCAAGGAGCTCTGCTGCGGTTGACTTTCCTCTCCTTATGTGAGCCATGTCAATGTGAGGCGGGGATGGAAAGACGGAAGTTACCTGGAAGGTGGCATCCGTGAAATATTTGTTTGTCTCAGCGTTGTAGACTTCAATCCTTACGAGGTGCTGCAGAGTCCTCTTCACCGCATGAGCCTCAGGATCTAGGAAGTGCAATGAGCATTGCTTCATCCCTGTCGACTTGCTTTTTGTGCAGGGCATGTATCTTCCCTTGTAGACTACATAGGCACACATTTGCTGGACAAATGGGCTTCACTTGGCTATTATTGGTTTACTTCGCTACATCAGGTTTCCTGTTCAATCCAGCTGGTTTCTCACGGCCCTGACAACTCCAATAATTGCGACCTGTTCCAGAATGATGCTGTTGTGACAAAAACTCACCCAGCCTTTCTGGACTGGCATAGGTTCGCCAGCTGTCTCGCCAAAAGCGACCAGCGTGCTGGGCACGGTGATAACTTGTCAGGCTTGGGTTCAGAGAAGTTGAAATGAAGCATCTGCCAAGGCCATCACTGGCTTCAGCTGGTTCGACCTGCATAAGGCCATGCACACAGCTTGGTAGATGGAAGATGATGGAAGTGCTGTGCACGCTGCAGGTTTTAGCTGCTGCCTGCCGTGGAACAGATGTGGGAGACCGAGCAGTCGACTGCGCAATGCTGCGCATACTGCGCATGGTTTGCGGATGGTCTAGCTCTGAAAGGTCTTTGGCGCCAGCTGCTGCCGCCAGGCAGTAGTCGGGCATAATTTTGCCTTACGCTTCTACGATTGTTCCCTTGATGTTGCGAGGAGGCCGAGACAGCAGAGGTGGTCATTGCCGACCAGGAGGCTCGCATCCGACATTCCAGGTCTAGTTCATCTCATGCTCCAAAAGCTGTGCAGGAAAGCAAAGAGAGCGATTTGAGATCCAGGCAGTGCTCTTCCTGCGTGCGAGACGGCTTGCTTTGGCAAGCTGCATGAACCGCAGGCGTCCATCAGGCTCACAGACCAGCTTATCACTGAGCACCGCCCTTGTCACTCGCTCAGTGCCAGAAACTGGGAAGATGGCAGTTTGCCGAGGTACAGTTGATGAAGATGTGACTCAAGTTACTCAAGTTACTTCCGCCACGCAGGCTGTCGGCTGCCAAGTGCTGCAGTTGCCGTGTGTCTCTTTGGGTGCTCCCAGTGTGCAACATTGGAGGAAGCTGAGTCAGACTCGCCGCCTTCGGTCGACAAGATCCGCAGCGACCCTGCAGTCTCACTTCGAGTTCGCAGAGTTGCAGTAAAATGGCTACGAAAATCAGCACTCGAAGATGCTGTGAGCACTCACTGAGTTAGGTCTGCTCGCGTTTAACTTTGCAAACTCCCGGTTGTGAACCTCAGTCACATGCTCTGGTAAGGTCAGACGTTCAAGATTCCAACAAGCTCCAGCGTTTTGCAATGGCTGGGCCTGGCCCCTAATTACACCGTGATGCTCAGAGCTTTGTAAGCTTCGTGCCCAGTTGGAGATATGTAGCGCAAGGCAGCAGTAAGCACTTGCCGATGGCACAGATTTTTGGCAAGCTAAGTAAGCAGGCATAACCATCCTAAAGCACTGACAGCCCAGGTCATTGTCATTTGCCCTTGCGCTGTATTTCGTCCTGCTAGGACAGCAAGATGCAGACCGACGCCTCGAGCTCGCTTGCTGCTTAGGATCGCAGAGTCTTCTCCACCAAGGGTTAAGGAAGAGATACTGTGTTTGTTTTTGTTTGCTTTGTGCTTTTTGGCCTCAGCCTCAGGCTCGCATGCTGCAACGGGCCGTCCCCGCAGGGCGAGCCGCGCACACGGATCCGCCAGAGTGACTGGGCAAAGCTAACTACGCTTTGTGGAACAAGGTTGCCTGCCACTGGTACGAGCTCAGCACATGCTCCGATGCGGAGTACACCAGCAGTTGCCTAAGACATTCAAAGGAATGATTTCATCTCACTGCGAACACCTCCAGTGTAAACAGAGTTGTATCAATGCTACTTGATAGTTTCCCATACATAGTGGGATCCCCTTACTACAAGGACTCCCAAAACCGGAGCCCTTTTCGGGAAGCACCACTTGTCGTGTAATCAGCTTCGGTTGGGTCTGGCCCCTGGCCAGCACGTTCAGGCTTCTGGAAACCGCAGCTAAAGAACGAGGAGACGACTTCATTCCAAGAGATTTCTTAACGGCTCAAATTTGCGTGCTACGCATGTTACGCATATTTGTTCTGGTTATTTCGTGTAAGCAGCCTCAAAAGCTGATACGATACAGCTGCTGTCATGGTCAGTGTCGTTTCATGTCAAACGCCCCCGGACGGAGGAGTTCTACCTTTGGTCCGAGAGTTGCCGAAGTCAGGTCCCCGTTGAAAGAGAGGCCGGCACATGGTGAACGAGTTTTGGCAAACTTTGTCTTGGACTTGGAGTGTCCACCGCGCGGAGGCGAGACTGCAACCGATGCCGTGCTTCTGCAGCAAGAGTATGCGAAACTTGCATTGCTCACGTACTGAACGGCAGTACCCGTACTTACCACTCATTGCCATTCTAATCGAGCAGTACACTAGCCACTGTAGAGGCTTGCGAGGCAAATTTCCCATCCGGGCTTATGAGCTCAGAAGCTAAGGGGCCACTCAGTGGTCTTGTGGTGTGCGCAGCAGGCCTACGGGTGAGTGCCGTCACTCTGCGGTCTACCTTCCTCTAAACAAAACTCTGCACACATGGAGGGCCTGGTTGACGATGTGTTCGACTGTGCAATACCTTTGCGGTTCGCTGCGCGCTGAGTTTGTAGGTTCTGAAAACGCAAAGATTCGGGAACAGTGCTGATTGAAAATTGCGTTTTAGCTGACCCATCTTAGATGCCCAAGGTGAGTCACAGTTGGTGGCCCCCGCAGGCATCTTCGTCCTGTAAGTGATGCCATGGAAGTGGGCCTACTGGCATAGCTAATTATTGCATGTTTTGCTGCGCACCCCCCAATACCAGAGCACTGAGCGCCAGTTTGTGCTGTACACAGGACTGGCATCAAGTCATGGGCACAGTCCTCAGAACAGTGAGCAGCTGTCAAAGGCACAAACCAGCAGACTCAGCACGGCTTGGCAGTTCATTTCCAATGGCCTGCGAGTCTGGCTTGTCCATGAGGCGAGAAATGCAGCTACGAGGCCATTAAGGCGGAGTTTGTCAGATGACTCGAGTCCGAATGTCCGAACTGCCAAGATGCTCGCCGCTCGCCGCAGGCTGCTGAGTTGTGCATTGCCGCCAAGGCGCGGAGCCGAGCGCCAGAGGTTTGCCAGAGGTTTGCGTAATGCGGTGTGCGCGCTGTGCGTCAACTCTTCGGCGAGGTCCTCTTATAGTTTCCAAGCCGCACGGTCTTTACACTGTGAGTCAGGACCTCTCCGCTGAGTACCTTCGCGATGCAAGCCGTTGGGAAGAGGCCTTTGCTTGATAGTGTACGCTCACGGCACCTGGCACAACTTGTCTTCACGGGGCTGGGCACAGGCGCGCTTTTGGATTGACAAGTGCTGCATTCGCCCCCTGGCTGCAAATGGCTGCACCAGAGTGCACCAGAGTGCACCGGCACAGCCTTCTAGTCGGCCACCTGATATCAACTGCACGAGGCCAGAACGATCAGGAGTTTATGTCCTTATCGATCCAGCTCATTGAGGCGGCTTCGGAACGGAGAGGTGTGTCAGCTGCTTAAAGCAGCTGCTTTGCACAGGAGTTCATGCAGCTCTGCCATGGCATGGTCGTCATCTTCACGTGGTCCTACTTGGAGCGTCTCTGGTGGCAAGCTCAGAACGAAGCGGGCTGGCGGGCACCATCAGCTTAGAGAGCATAAGATGTCCAGGTGCGTCTATGAGTGGGCCTGCTTCTTGGTCTTCCATGAGTCAGGGCCTCGCCTTCAACACGCTGAGTATGGACAGGGATCGCAGCGCTGCTGTCCTCTCAGGCCTCACGACCTAGTCATCTGCGCCGAGTCCCTGTATCGGGTGGGCACGGAGGCCGAGCTGCCCCTATGATTGCGTCCTGCTCTCGCCATTGTCTTGTTTACAGGAGCGTTTCTTGGAGTCCGTGCGTCGATTCTCCGTGGAGCAGAGCCAGCCAGCGACCCAGTTGGGCCAGGTGGTTGCTTGCGACGTGAATGGTGCGTGGTGCGCGTTGTGATCTCTGATTTTGCCAGAAACTGCAAGGTGCACAGATCCACAGGATCGAACAGTGCTTGAGCAGAAGATCAAAGAGCTTGGAGCTTGGATGTTCGGCACCGACTAGCGAAGAGCATGCTTTCGCAGATCATTATTTGGAGCTTAGCCGGCTGATCGGCAATCCTGTCAGCCTTTGTAGTAAGCACCTCACCAGGGTGCAGAACATAATCGCCATCGAGGGCGGCGGAGGGAACACACTGCAGTTGGAGCGCTGCTAGTCACGGCCTTTCCTGGAATATCCAACGCCCTGTGGATTGTAAATGGCTTACGTTTGCTGGCAGATCGCTGGGTTTGTAGTGCCTTTGCATGCTGTTTCGTTTGCGGGTGGCCAGGATGGGTTTGAGAAGAGCCATGAGGGTGGGGCAGTGGGGAGTGAACGAGGGAGGAGGAGTGGGGGGGTCGGTGGCCGTGCGCCATGGTGGAACAAGCCAGAGGACCTGCGGCAGGGACAACATCTCCGAACTGAGTCAAAACCCCTAGCCCAAAAATAGAAGCCGAGTCATTGGGGTGGGAACACATTCTTAACCTTAGACCTTACATCTAAACGCCCAGGGCTCGCCCAGGCCTCGGGCCTCCTCGGACATAGGGCCATAGGGGCGTGTCATGTGTTGAAGGACCCAGCCCGATTTGTTTCAATAGGGACCTTCGCGGTTTCTAGCAGGACTGATAGCATCGAGGTATTACGGATGCTGTGAGAACTTCGAGCGCTTCCTTCGAGTTTCTGCCTGGAGCCCACCACCATGGCACTTGCTGCAAAGTCCTTTGCTCAAAAGCCGTGATCTCACGGGCTTGACAGGCCAGAGACATGTCTAATGTGAGTCTTGGAACTGTATGATGGAGCTTCCTGTGTAGGCAGAGCTGCATGATTCCAAAGAGCTGTGCTGCGAAACTTTGAAACCGGCCCTCTCTGGAAGGTCATTGCCATCATCGGTCGTTGTTTGGCAGCTCGCGGGGTTCTACCCCAAGCGCGAAACGGTTTTAGAGCTCTGCGGTGCTTCTGTGCTCGTTTGAACATGAGGCACGCAACCGGACTGGCCTCTGCAAATGGATCAACTTGGCAGACGAGTTAGGCTTCAAGGACTGTCTACAAGATGGGGTATCGGGTCAGAGGAAGGGGAGAAGCATTTCATGCGGGGCTTTTTCGAGGGTTCACGTGGATGCCATTCTAAACCTCCGCGGGCCTAACTTGTGGCTAGAGTAACTGCAGCATTCGGGATTTGCAAGGGGGAAGCACTTGCAAGCTGGCGCAAGCGCGGGGGCAAGAACAAACCGTTTTATGCACGTTGATCATACGTACATATTGTATGTATAGACTATGTTGCAATGCGTCTGAATTCCCATTCACGCAAGACGTTACAAGTCCTGGTGCAAGGAAACCCTACTACTATGAATTTAGAGCAGCATCCATATGAGCTATTGTCTCAACTTCTTAAAGGGGGGTTATGTAGGGCCTATTGATACAGGAGTCTTTATAGGACTCATTAAGGGGGATACTTGGAGTTTAGACTATGCCTCATATGACTTCGCTGTCAGGACCTGGCCGATGGCTTGCGAGTCGCAGAGAGCCTGGCCTGTCAAGGGAAGTTGAGAAAAGTGGGTAACTTACCCCGAACGAACATGGAATCCCATACAGCCCTGTTGTTTCTTCGTGAATTGGGTGTTCATACTTACTTGTATAGCCAGGATCCAGCTGCATGGCGACAGAAAGCCTTGGACGAGGCTTTGGAAGAATAGTTCTGTGATGAGTCATGACAACCTCTGCAGGCTCTATTATACATACATATATGTATTACATGCACATGGATGTATCTATATGTACAGTACCTCCTCAGGTGGAAACCAGCAATTCAGATTTGCAGAGCTGCATCAAGGCCACAGCCGAGGGAGGTATTTCAAGCTCAAATAAGCCTGAAGGGGAATACGCTGAAGGCACAGAGTGACGCGTGGTTTGCCGACCACATAACCCCCATCCTTGCTGCAGAGCGACGGCGTGCGGTCGTGCTCCCAGCCATGGCGGCAATGTGGCAAAAGCTGGCAAAAGCTGGCAAGTTGTGGGACAGGGCGCCAAGCCACATGGCTCTCAGGTGCAGCGACACGTCTTTCGAAGCATGCTGCTCCGCAAAAACTATGTCACTAGCCCCAGCAGACATGAGGCTGCTGTTGAGCCGCGCTCAGCTCTCTGATCAGGTCAGAAAGGCGCTTAGCGCGGAGGGCTTAGATTGATGTTTGAGCAATTTCACACCAACTCAGGGTTTGTGCACTGAAGGACACCAGCTTCAAACGCCCAACAACCTTCCACTCCTCCTGGGCGCTCGAAGCAGAGCTCCCAAGCAAAGCCATGACATGTTTGGATGATTGGAGCAGTGGCTCTTCTAGGTCAGGCAACTGGCCTCGGCGCCCGCTACAGCTTCATGAGGAGCAAAGACGATGTCTGTCAGCGGGTTTATTGAAATCGGCTGTTGCTGCCTGCTGTCCAGGAGGTCTATTCCACGGAAGCTGCACAAGCTTGAAGGAGACTGGGAAACGCATGAGATGAAGAATTGAAGGTAGTTGATATCAACTGGCTCCGGCTCCAGGCGTCATCCGACGCACATCTGTGTCGCATTCGCGCCGGCGCAGATTGAGAGCCGACCCTGAATGAATTGGCTTTGGAGAAAGCTGTAGCAGCATTTTCGCGATCCTCTGCAGAGGACCCTATCTTTCCACGTTTTCGTTGTGTGCTGCCATTGCGTAGCACGTCGGCAGCACGTCGAGGAACCAATTCCCAGCAACACCAAAGGCAGCCGTGATTGCTGTCACGGTGCCAGACGAAAGTCGGACACACCAGCAAATCTCTCGCAAGCCCAGTTGGGTCTTGGACACCTCGAATTTTAGTCGATGACCGCTGGCCCATAGAGACCTGCAAGGTGCACGAAATTCGGACTGTACCACGGTAATCCGAACGCAGCATTCCGGCTTTGCATCTGTGAGCTGCTGCAACCTGCAACCATTTTTTCCGTCGTCCGCACGACTGTCGGCCAGCTTTCAAAATTCAGAGCTTACAGGGAATCGTGGGTTATCTTAGGCTCTTAATCAAATTGGAAACCCTGTAGGTTTTGTGTCAAGCATAGAATCGAGTATGAAACTTACACCTCAGAAGGCATGGCAAAAGCGGACAGTCGTATGCCTAGGTACAGTCTCCTTCCCCTGGCTCGTAGCAGGGAAAGAGGGCAGCGATCCTCACAACAGCCAATGCCAACAAGCCCGAACAAATGGCCATATTCTTCAAGGGCACTGCGTCCTTCTAAGAACCAGATAGTCTTTGCGACAACCTTCGGTTTCAAAGTGTTTGCTTGGGCGAAAAGGGCGACCAAGATCATGCAAATGTTCTTTTTTTAGGATTTCCCAGCTCTTGGATCTTGTTTTTTTTTTGGTTCGGTTTCAGGTGCGCCCAATTCCTGTCTGGCATGGTTTTGCTGCTCAGGCTGAGTTTTGCAAGCATGGCATGAGCTTCTTGAAAGGTCGTGCCGCAGGTGGCCGAGGTAGACTTTTGTGCCAATCAGTGTGTGGTCTGCCGAGGCATTTTGTCACACTCTGGTTGAGCAGCGCTGGTTGCATTCCAACAGTTCTGGCCAGGTTCAAATTCCTGAAAATCAGCGTGGGGTTAGCCTGCATTCAGATACATACAGTGCTTTGCCATCCCTTCGCAACCAGCCCGTGGCTACCTGAGCGTTGTGTTATACAAACAAGATTTGCTCCTCGAAGTGTAAAGAATGAGAAAATGATGCGCGAGCAGAACTGCCGCGCCTTGTTGCAGAGAGATGCAGATGCCAGGGAAGAAAAGGCATGGGTGATGTCTTCTCCTCTGTTGTGGATGACGTCATCCATGCCCGCCACCTGGCATCTGCCAGTGTTCTAGGCGGCCTGTGCCTTCCTTTCCGTCCATTCCGCCGGCACCTGTGGGTGAAAGCCGGTGACAATGAGGCCCGGTGGACAATGCGCTACCCTGCCCGCCACAAGTGCAAAAAAAGACGGAAGAGTTTTTGAAGCAGAATCTCAGATCTACTCAGTGCACCGGATCCACCATTGGCACAGCATTGTGCAAGAATGGACAACATCAGTGTCAAAAGGTTTCCGGTGTCACTGTGGCAGTGATTTTGTCCACAGACTCCAAGTCCTTGGAGTCGCAGTGCATGGCATTTCGTGCTGTGCGGGCTCAGTCTCAAGGACAGCTCTCGCAGCCCGGTCCTCCCCAAAGGTGTTCGAAGGCTGATGAAGATGCTGATGTAGGCAACATGCTGTGAGGACAGGGAGTGACCGCATTAAGATTGCAGTTGAAGCGCGGTCATCCACGAATGGTGACCGTGCCCATGGACTCCCATGGACATGCCGGAAGAGCAGCCAAACAATCCCGATCTGTGTAAACATGCAGCATGACCCCACCTTTTTTGCCAACGCTTTCCGCACGACTCCACTTCCTCCTGATTATGTATCCATCGCTCCAAAACGAGAGCAAGTAGTCAGTTTGCTTCAGTATATTTAGTCAACTTTCGTAGTGATGGATAGTTGCCGCTATGATGACAACAAGTCTTCCTCCTACACAAGTCACCGCACCCGCCTTTCATTGCACATGGCAGGAGCAGCAGTTGAATGATTTGAAAGCCTCCAGCCAAGATTAATGCCCCACCGACAATGGATGGATAGGATACGTGTACGTTGCACGCTTTTATTTACTGCCTGATGCACGAGAGTTTGAAATGGATGTTCCTTTGCACGCCAAATGTTCGGTTTGGCTGTTGTGCTTCGCCGGCTCGGAGCAGCAAATCTGAGTCTGGATTGCTTGTTGGACCTGCTTTCCCTTTCATACCAGCAGCCACATCGATTGTAGCTGGAGCTGTCTGGTAGTCTGCATTGATGAGAGGTTTGTTTCTACTTATATCATGCGCGGATGTTGGAAAGCTTTGAATTTACAGCCCAACACGCCAGTCTCTTTTGCAAAACACCAACCAGCGCTATGGAATAAACAAAAGGTCGTCTGCATACATGAAGGGACCCCTTGGCATGTTGGATTGGTCTCCTCACGCCTGCTTGACTGGGACCTGTGGCTCGAGCTTTCAGAATCCGCACGAGAAAAGCCCGGATGCTTTGGGGCTTCTGACGAAAAGATCTTATAAGACTTCAAGGGAAAGCGGTGCAGGTGCACTCTATGATTCTATGCCTATTCAACTTGTCAGGCATAAGTCTTGGTCTGGGTTTCACAGCCCCAGTCAACATTGAGACAGCCGGACCTCGGGTCAGCAGCGCCTCAGCCTGCAACCGGACGCAAGTTCAAAGTGTCACACACGCGAGCAGTAGATCTGCGCTTGCGACAGACATGTCAGCCTTGACCCTGGCTTTTTGGGTTCTCAGTGAAGGCAATCAGCTTTGATGCTGTAGTGAGAGTGAAGTCAACACCACACAGGGTCCCCTACATGGCATCGAGGACGCAGCTATTGCAGTCACCTCGCCACTTTTCTTGGAAACTAGACCCCGATTATCCCGAAAGCAATCGATTCCACGTCAGCAGGGGACGAGTATAGGTGTTGCGGTTGTGGTGCGGTGTAGGTGCTGTGGTGTACGCTGCTGTGTCGGTGCGGTTCAGGCGGAACAGTGAGCGCTCTCGCTAGCGTCACGGGTTTGGCTTTTTTCGGCTAGCAGGCATCTCAATACAGGTGCTGCAGCTTCAAGCAATTTGACTACCAACGGCAAAGTGAAACACGTGAATGCGCGTCTCATCTGCAGCCAAGCTCACACGGACTCGAGGGAACCTAGCAGAGAATGCGCGCGTAGCTCAGGTTTCGACGCCAGCTGTCTGAGTCCCTGGCTTTCTCGGTTGCCGGATTTTGAGGTTGCCTCGCAGGTCAGCCCAGTCACACGATATGCACAAGATGGCTACAGAGGCAAACAGCAATCGTCATTGAAGTGCTGGCGCACGAGGCTTATGAAGACTCAGCGGCACAAATGCTGAAGAAGGTACACATGGTAAAGCAAATGTCTTTGGCAGTGACTGCATCCCCAAAATGGCCTTAAGTTTGTCGAGCTTCTGTCGACGGAACTCAGGGGCTGCGTCTGGCACCTGTTGTGCCACCTTGGCACGTAGCCAGAAAGACAGGCGCTGTTGTCCCCGGCGAGCTGGCGGACGTCGAGGCCATGGCTTGAACCTCACGCCTCCAAGCCCTGCCGCGGAGTTGCGTCTTTCTCGTGACAAAGCGAGAGCACCTCATTCCCATAACTTTTCCATGGCTTGAACAACTTACCCAAACCTCACGCCTCCAAGCCCTGACCCTTTTCTCCTGCTGCTGAGTTTCGTTGTTCTGGTGACAAAGCTAGAGCGAAGAAACTCCCGGCGAGCCGGATTCAAACGCCATCAAACCCCGTGGTTCAAAGCTACGAAGCAAATAGACGCAGTGTGGATTCTCGGGTGTACGTGGTGCGGTGTAGGATTTCGGAGGATGCTCCACGCGCCAGCGCTGTCACCCGCCCAACACAGCGAGAGGGTCATCGATTCCGCACAAATTCTCAGGACTCTCCACGTGCCAGCGCTGCTACCGCGCAGAAAACAGCGAGAGTGTGGTCGATTCCAAACAGTATCGCAGGTCGCTCCTCGTGCCACCGGGTAGGTTCTGTGGTGTGGTGTAGGAACTGGAAAAAACCCCTGTGGTAGCCGACGGGACAACGCATGGATGAATATTTGCGAGTTTGGTGGATGGATCAGTTTTTGTACTCGAAATACAAGCAGGTTCCGACTGAGACGTGCGTGTCACTGCGTTACGTTCGATCAGTTTCATTGGCCGCCAGGCCGAAGGGCAAGTGCTGCACGAAGTCCGGAATTGCATGGCAGGCATCTTGGAGTCCACGTTACCTTCGTCAGATGTCAATTGGGGAGAGCTGCGTGAAGTAACGCAGCACCCCCGCAATAGTCACCAAAATTTGCCACCCATTGTGACACAGTCCTTGACAAGTTTGGGGGCCTTGAGTGAGCTGCTCCACCTTGTTTGAGCTCCTCGCCTCAGATATTAAGCAATGACGTCAAAAAGGTGATCTCAAAGTCGTGCCTCGACTTCGAGTGTCGGAGGCTTGCTGAGCACCCAGAGGAGGACATGTTGTCCATGAAGGTTGAGCAGTTGACAATGCCGAAGCCGGGAAAGCTAGCGAAGAGTAGCGAGTTGTGGAGGGAGGAGGGGGGATGCACAGGTCCGCATCAACTTCTTGGTATCCAGAGATGCTTGATATCTACGACAATTCCCTTTTGTGCTCAAACCTTTCCGAAGAACAATCGTTGCCTGCTTTACCAGTTGCCCCGCGTCTGGCCTGCAGCGCCGTTTTGCACAAGTGCAAGTTGACGGCAACGGACTGGTTCAGGGCAGCTTGTGTGATGATTCGGTCTCGACTGCCAG